AGCCTTTGTTGTTCTCCTATGTTTGGTGATTCAGAAAGCTGTCTCTACCGTTGCCGGTCTGTGTATTATAAAAGTGCATCCGTGTCTAGTTTCGATCACGAGTCGATTCACCACATTCGGACTCTTGGCTAGGTCTGTCACAGATCTTGTCCAAACAAATGAATTAATTTCTTGGAATATTGGGGTTCACCGATTGGCTACGAGATTCGCTCGTCCCGTTGTGCCTTGCGGTTCCTTCACTAGCCCCGCCAACAGCCGCACAACAGACTGTATCATAGGCAACATAACGGTAGGCGTGGCTCAATGTTTGGAGTCCTAGACTTCTAACCAACAGATTGTGGGTTCAAACCTCAAATGTTGCAATACTTGTGGTTGGGTGTGACAGGTTGGCCACGGCGAATAAGTCCGAAATAACCCTTCCTGTCTCCCGCTACTATGTCGGTAATGTTATTTTAACTAGATTCATTTGTTTGTTCTTGGCACCAAACAACTATTCTTTCACTGCCATCTTGCCATCCGGTCAAATGAAAACGAGATGGCAGGCTATCAGAATGTGGAAAGCAATTAAATTATAGATAAATATTTGGGTGAACGCTTGGTTATCAACGCACCTTCGAGTAACATCGTCCAGCTAAAACAGCGGCGCCAGATCAACCAAGGCTACGGAGATTCGTGCGTTATAATTGAATTGCGTTGTCGTCCGGTTTTCAGTGCAACATTTTATGTATTGCCTCCATGCGACAGAGTTCGAGAAAACACGGTTTCAAGTCCGGAAGATTGTTTAAGGTGTCCTGTATGAATGCAGGACACAAGCGAGCCCAACTGGGATTGCGTTATCTGCTTATGGTTTTGACGTCCTCTTAACTAGAACAGCGTCATTTAGATTGACGAAGTCGCGCTTTTACCCGAGACGCGACTGCCAGGTGAGTCCAGTTTTAGATGCTTAGGACGCTACATAGGTGTGCTTGCGGCGACTGACAACTGACGATATTGCAAACCTGACAAGATTGGTGTTCTAAGGATTGACAGAGGATAAAAAGAAACCCATGATTGTTTTTTTTATAATTTCGGACTGATCTTGCCCTTACGCTGTCCAAATTGGACGAACTTTGGTGATCGTATCGACAAAAACAGAATGATCGTTTTTGAACTTCTCATTATTTATCTTATCTATTTATTGATAGAACAAGATTACGCCACCTCAGAAGAATGAGTGGATCGAGCCCTGAGAATCTGACCGTTTACCGATCAGCATAGCTTACCAGGCCTCACACAGCGAGGCTAGAGGTCTCAATTTGATATCTTTATTGGTTCTCCCTACGATTAACGCAATTATTTACCTATGCACAAATAGATAGATAGGTATTTTATTTGAGTACCCGGAAGGGTACTGTCATTTAAATCCTAACAAATTGGTCCGACTTTCCATCTTGTGTACGTTGTTGCCATTGCAACCTAGATATCATTCCGCTAACTCTTCCCGATACTCTTTTTTACCTTGTCTTCACATTTTTTATCGCATGCTTTGCATCTTATATCTTGATCTAATGACACAGTCTAGGCAATCAAAATTTCAACAATCCAGCCTCTCGATCTCTTTTAACAGAAATTCCTCGAGTAAGGTAACCCTTTTCGCACTCCGGACCTCACTTGTTCTTCTTAAGAAGAAAAGCCACCGGATCGATCCGTGGTTCACGGGCTGCGAACCAAATAGTTCACTTTTTACATAGCGTGGGAGTTAAATGTTCAACTAGCTAGCTAGCTAAATGGCGAACTCACGTTCAAACTTCGAGTATGCCAACGCCTGACCTTCGAGTTTATGGCTTGACGCTATTCGGAAATTGTCATTGTAGTAATTCTGGTTTTCGTTGGTAATACCCGTCGGTGATTGATTACTTGTCGCCATGCGTGGGCTGTTGACCCTCAACTTCAGTGCACTAGGGCAACGCCCATTTCGGTCTTTGCAATTGAGGTAGTGCCTAACACCACTCTAATGTGAGTCATTATAAAAAGCCCTATGCCGGACTACAATATCTGAGGACAGTGCAACTTTTGTTGGCGGACATGGTGGCGATTATTCGGAGCGCGTAGTCGAACTTTTAGCGACCAGTGTTCTTTCTTTAACCTTTTTTCTTCCTGCCTATCCTAGTTTATTGATATTCTGTGACCTGTTTTACAGGTCTTTGTGCCCACGTACGCGGTCCGTTGGGTTGTGTCAAGGTGTGCCAGTTCGGTCGAATATTGATTTATCACGTGGGCACTTTTTTTTAATAAACTGGGCAACGATCACGAAACTAGCAGAATTTACTGACGTCATAAAATTTTCCGCGACCTCTCATTCAACTGTCCAATTAAATATCGACCTGTAAGGGTGAAACTTGATAGGTAAATAGAATAGGAGCTATTAATCTCCGATGC